ATATATATATATATATATATATATATATATGGGAATCCAGAAAATCAGGCCATCCTGGTCGCTAGGACGGTCTGGTTTTCCTTTTTTCGTTTATATATTTAGGTATATGGAGATTAAAGAAAGAAGATTCTATGGGCTCATAAGCACAACTCACAGGATATAATCACCATTAATCAAGCGTCTTAGCCCTCGCTAGCTCGAAGCATAGAGATCAAAATATTTAAATTTTTATTATTTTAACTTGTGGCAATCTTTTCTCTTAATCACCCAAAACCATTAATTGGACGTCCCAAATTGTAACGGGGGATGAAAGGAGAAGTCAGGACCAACATAATGTTATGTACATTGCGGCAGAATATTATTACCCCACATGTTAGTACTTTTCCTAGGGGGCCTGAGCCCAAGCAGCAGCAGCCCACATGTGAATGGATTGGGGCTTTGTGGAAAAATGGGGCCCAACAAAAGTTTTAAACTGGGCCGGGCTGATCAGGTGAATTTTTGACTCTTGTCCTGGAGTGGATCAGGATGAGTCTGCATCAGATGGCTATTATTATTCCGCATGGGAGATGTGAGCGGTACCGACGTTTGCACTTCAGGACAGGCGTATACCAATGATGTTATTATCTATTGACAGAGTCATGTTGTGCTTGAATATTTTGGAGGTAGCTTACTTAAATTGTTTACTATATACCAATGATGTTATTATCTATTAACAGAGTTTGTAGTCATGTTTATATTCAAAATTGCAGGTTCTTGGTTTATGAGTATGTCAACAATGGAAATTTAGAACAATGGCTTCATGAATTTATGCGTCAGCAAGGATATCTTACTTGGGATGCTCGCATGAAGGTCCTTCTTGGCACAGCTAAGGCGTAAGTACATTTTTAGCGCACAACCAGTAATCTGGTTCTCTTACAAAAATTTAACTTGATATATACTTTTTGCAGTCTAGCCTATTTGCACGAGGTCATTGAACCCAAAGTGGTGCACTGAGACATTTAAGTCAAGCAATATATAGCTAGCGGTGCCAAAGATAATAAAAAATAACTTTAAATTTTAAGTACAATACAAATATATAATTTTTAAAAGTTAAAATTTGTCCTTTTTTTAATGCATGATGATTGAATCCTATCTTTCAAATCATGTTAAAAATAAATAAAATTTAAAATAAATATTACTAGAATTGATTAGAAGCATTCATAATCAACATTTAAAACTTCTCAACTAAACATTCAAGAATAGCTAAATATCAAGAATAGTTTTATTATGAAATTTTAAGAATTATGGAATGATGCTTCTTTATAGTTTAATTTGAAAAATAAGAATATTATTTTAAGAAAAATTATAAATTTAGGATTCAAAGAGTGGAGTCACGAACATTTTTAAGGAGTAAAGTTGTAAACAAATTAGAAATTTAGAATTAGAGTTATAATGTATGATTAAAATGAAAAAATTAATTAGAGATATAAACATATTTTATTTTTATTTTTTAATTAAATTAATAGAGTTATTATCTTATGAAACAAAAAAATTTAA